ACCTTACCGATCCGTCTGCTGTCCCTTCCACGAGAGCGCTACGCCGACAAGCAGCCCACTTTTCCGTGCGAGACAGCATTCTGTACCGCCGCAACTACATGCCTGGTGGTCGGAAGTGGCTCCTTGCTGTCCCAACTCATATGCGCTCTGACATCTGCATGAATTTCCATGCAGACCCTCAAAGTGCTCACGCAGGTGTCCTGAAAACCTACGAAAGGCTGCGCCAACGATATTACTGGCGAGGAATGTATCGCTTTGTGCAGAAATACGTTCAGTCTTGCACCACTTGCCAACAGAACAAGACACCTCCGCGGCACCTTACTGGCATGTTACAGCCGCTCCCATGCCCGGCTCGCCCATTCGACCGCGTGGGTATCGATCTCTATGGCCCCCTCCCATATAGTCGCTCTGGAAACCGGTGGATTATTGTCGGCGTCGATCATCTGACACGCTACGCTGAGACTGCAGCTCTACCAGCAGCGACCGCCCACGAAGTTGCACTCTTCATTCTCCGCAGCTTCATTCTCCGCCATGGGGCTCCGCGGGAATTACTCAGTGATAGGGGTCGAGTGTTCCTGTCGGAGGTCATCCAAGCTATTCTCGCTGAATGCAACATCATCCACCGGAAATCTACCGCATACCATCCACAGACGAATGGTCTCACTGAACGGTTCAACACTTGGCGACATGCTGAGGATGTACACCTCCTCCGACCACACTAACTGGGACGCTGTCTTGCCTTTTGTTACCTTCGCTTACAACACCGCGACGCAAGCGACTACCGGTTTTTCCCCGTTCTTTCTGTTGTACGGCCGCGAACCATCCCACCCACTCGACACCATACTCCCGTACCGCCCTGATGTATCGGAGTGCTCCCCGCTTTCGGAAGTCACCAGATACGCTGAAGACTGCCGTCAGTTGGCTCGGTCTATGACAAGTGAGGCTCAAGGTCTACAAAAAACCCGGCATGATGACGCTCATCACATAGCGCCTACGTTTCGTACTGGCTCCCTCGTGTGGCTTTGGGTGCCCCCGCACGTTCCTGGCCTGTCTTCTAAACTTCTGGCCCGGTACCATGGTCCATACCATGTCATTGACGCAACCTCACCAGTGAATTACATCGTCGAGCCCCTAACACAATCGCCAGATTTGCGCCGTCGAGGACGCGAGACCGTACACGTCGACCGTCTCAAGCCCTACTACGACCCCCTCATTGTGCCTACTCCCTGAGTCGCCAGGATGGCTACTCTTCAACCCGGGGGGTATTGTAGTGGAGCATACGCACTAACGTGTATGCGCCTTCCAAAGAGAAGGAAAAACCCCGTGCTCTGATTGCACGAGAACTTGGGCCGCCTTTTGCCAGACTTGTCGTACGGCCATTTTTCGTTGCGACTTCTCCGGTTCAATAAACGTCATCACACTGGCTCTATGTTTTGGGACCCATTCGAAACCTTCCTCAGGATCCGTCCGAAGCAAGTGACTTTTCTTTAGTGGTGCCTCGCTCTCTACTGTCCTTAAAACATTGGATGAACTCAAAAATGAAAAATACGTCAGTCATGGCAACAGTGGTGTGCACATGACAGTTGGTGCATTCCCGATCTGCATGCGCCACCGGGCTAGTGGTGGCTCCCATCTATCGATTTTGCATGAGTCTGCCAATATAACAGAACGTAAGAGGTGAGCACTGACGTAACCGGAATTGAGTTTTTTCACATACTGACTCTGGAAATCAGGGGCATAGGCTGAAATTTTTTTTATGAAAGGGGGGGGGGGGGGTCAATAAATTTTTTGTATGTGCGTGTGTGGATTTATGCACATGCGAACCTGAAAACTGTGGAGGAAATGTTTGCTGACCTCCCCATCCACTGAAAATGCTGAAAACGAAAAAGTGGATGAATTTCTTGCTGAGTGGAAAGTGGTAGCGTTACTGGGCCACGTTTGCAACGTTTTTCTCATTCGCTTTCCCCAATTCTTCTCTCGGTGGACAGCTCAGCCACACCATGAGGGAAAGAACACGCCATTGTAAACTCTTTTAGGTCACCTATTGCAAGTTACCCACGAATTAATTCACACAACTACACACAATTTGTTGACTTGGCTGGGGGTGAGAAGCAATTTGCCATGTGTGGGCAGATTTGAACAACACACTGGATACGCGATTCACAGGTGCGTTGCCCAGAGCACTTTTATACATTTCTTCACCAAAATATTACAATATCAGTTAATGAGACCCCTCGCCCAACTTGACGCGTCAATAGCGCCCTTTCGAGCCGAAACCGAAAGTGGTTATATTCACGATGATCGGCAAAGCTGCTGTAATTAGTAGGCCAACTGTCGTGCACATAACCACATCCAATATCAGCTTACTCCCAAGTTTTTCCAAATTAGTTATAAGCACTGGCATGGAATCGCATCCATCGACGCTCCTCGCAGGTAACGATGCCGACACCACCTTTACAGCAGCCATCGCGACAAAATGCGGTGCCACTAAAAAAAATTAACTGATTGAATTCCAGCACCTGCTATATTTCCATGCATTAGCTTTTTAAGGAATCTTTTTTCTTTGTTCTTGCGTTATCCGGTGCGAAGTATCTGGCATGTAACAGTCACCTTTGATTATATTGGAGCCGGATTTTTCCATCACGATTGGCGTCATTAGGCATGGCGCGCTCCCTTGGGAGCAATGTGATCATCGGGCTCAATCGTGATTACCACACAACTCGATGATGCACTACCAACGCGTGGCATCGACAGATGATCAAGTGTAGCCAGACTGCAGTGCACGTTTAGAGGTCGTTAGTCGTTACGTCCAACGCTGACACCAAGGCAGATCCAATGTCATCTTCATCATCAGCCTGACTACGCCCACTGCTGGGCATAAACCTCTTCCACTGTCCGGTAATCACCCCAGTCTTGTGCTTTCTGTTGTTACGTTATATGTGCAAACTTTTTAATCTCATCAACCCACCTAACTTTCTGCCTCCCCTTAGTGCATTTGCCTTCCCTGGAAATCCAGTCGCTTACCCTTAATCTCCAGCTGTTTTCCTGCCAACGTGCCTGGCCCATGTCCATTTCTTCTTCTTGATTTCAACTATAATATCCTTAACCCCGGTTTGTTGCCTGACCTACTCTGCCCTCTTGTCTCTTAAGGTTACGCTTATCATTTTCAATTTTATCACTCGCTGCATCGTACTCAATTTAAGCTGAACCCTCTTCGTAAGCCTCCAGGTTTCTGCTCCGTAGGTAAGTACTGGCAAGATGCAGCTGTTATATACCTTCCCCTTGAGGGTTGGAGGCAGATTACCATTCATAATTTTAGAATGCTTGCAGGATGTGATCCACCCCATCTTTATTCTTCTAGTTATTTCACTCTCATGGTTCAGCTCCACGGTTACTAACTGTCGTAAGAAGACATATTTCTTCACCACTTCCAGCGTCTATCCACCTATCGCAAAATGCTGTCTTCCGCTGAGACTGTTGCACACTGCTATAGTTTTGCGCATATTAACTTTCAGACCTACTTTTCTGCTTTCCGTGACGAGTTCAGTAATCATGAGCTGCAATTCAACCCCCGAGTTACTTATCACGGGAACATCATCAGCGAATTACAGGTTACTAAGATACTCTCCACTAATTTTTATTTCTAACTCTTTCGAATTTAGGGTCCTGAAAACCTCCAGTAAATATGCGGTGAATAGCACTGAAGAGATTGTGTCTCCCTGCCTATTGCTTTCTTTATGGAGAACTATAGTGGCTGTGGATCCACTTTAGATTTCTTTCAGTATTTTTTATGTAGGGTTCTTCGATTCCCTGATTTTGTAGTGCCTGCATTACTGCTGATGTCTCTACTGAGTCAAGCGCCTTTTCATAATCTATGAAGGCTATGTACAAGGGTTGGTTGTATTCCACGCATTTCTTTATTACCTGATTGATAAAATGAATATGGTCTATTGTGGAATACCTCGTACGAAATCCTGCTTGGTCCATTGGTTGATTGAACTGAAATGTTGCGCTAATTCTACCAGCTATTATTTTTGTATATAGCGTGTAGAGAACAAACATAAAGCTGATCCGCCTGTAATTATTCAAGTCCCTGACGTCTCCTTTCTTATGGATCAAGATAATATTGGCATCCTTTCAAGATTCTGGTATCCTTCCCATGAAGAGGCACTTCGTATATAAAGTGGGCAGTTTTTGTAACACTATTCCTTTGAAGTCTTTCAGCAGGTCTGTTACCTCATCCTCACCAGCAGCTTTGCCTATTCGCATTCCTTTTTGGGCGTTCCTTACTTCCCCAGTCGTTACTGGTAGGATGTCGAATTCCTCTAAACTATTATTGTTTCTCACAATATCATCCTCGATGTTTTGGCATCTCTACAGCTCTCTGTAGAACTCCTTCACCCCCTCGACTATTTTATCCAGATTGGTTATGACAATGCCTTCCTTGTTCCTCGATGCATACATTCGATTTTTGCCTATGCACAAGTTTGCCTTGGTAGCTTCTAGGCTTCTGCCACTTTTTACAGCCTGCTCAATTCTCTCTATGTTAAACCTTCCGATGTCGGCTACCTTACGCCTATTGATTAACTTCAAAAGCTCGACTAGCTCCATTTTGTCGATTGCATTTGAGGCTTTCATGGTTTGTCGTCTCTTATTATAATTTTTCGCCTCAGGAGATAGTTTTCCGGTGTTCTGTACAATGACTGTACCTCCGACTTCCATTGCATTCTCTTTGATGATGGTAGTATGATTATCGTTCATCGTGTCAACGCTAACGTCGGTTACCTCGTCTAGTGCCTCACATCTATTCTGAAGCGAAACTTCTGTTTTTGTTTCACGAAATGTTTTTTTGCGCCTCAGTCATCTGCACCACATATAAGCTAGATCCAGCGTGAACTCAATCGTAAGATCGTCCACGCCACCTTCCAACAACTAAACATCAGCAGGGTAACCGCACCATGTTCGATTTAAATCGCTTATCTTCGCGCATATAGGCCTACCACTGAAATTGTCAGTGCGTTCCCTCCTCTTGTGCCATCGCGCGATGATGTCTGCTCACCTTGACGCGAAACGCTTGTGAATGGCCTGGGCGTTCTTCTCAAGTTCTCTTGCGTACCACAAATCCTTACTTATCGCACTTCACGCAAAGCTTGTCCAGAAAACACAGATTAAGCAAGCGGCCGCCGCTGCTGCGACCTATGCTCACACAACGCCTCCTCTAGAAGATGCCTGGCACATGAGAAGAAAAACGGCTGCCACACGCTTCCCCTCCTTTATTTTACAATGTTCTCGGTCGCTAGCAACACCTGTGGCGGACGGTGCAACAACGCAACACTTTGCATAGCCTCCGAAATAGCGGTGTACAGTTGCAGGTCTCGAACAACTCTCGGCTGACGCACCCCGCAGATGAAAAACGCTTAGCTGGGTACCGCCTGCTGCCGTGATAATGGATGAATAGATATAGCTGTACCCTTTAGATTGGGCGGTGGCTAGCGCCACTAAGCCGTAATACCTAATGAATCAAAAAATATAATTATTTTTTTTCCTTAAAAAGTGAGTTTGAGGATTCGTACTTTGCAGTGAAGAGTTTAATTTTCACTCGTGCCTTGACTTTAGCCACCAATCAGATAACCTCCTACTAGTTAAGTCTACCCGCTTAAAGTTTATTTTGCCCTCCCGGTCCCTAAACCCCAGTGCTTTGAAAAACTCTGCGCCATCATCCTGAACTACAGAGTGAAGCCCTTTACAGAACATTATCAAGTGTTCGGCAGTTTCTTCTTCCTCTCCACACGCACCGCATACTATGTCTACCCCTTCGTTTTTTTTTTTTTTTTAATTGATATGATATATAAGAAGATATATCTACCCCTTCGTATTTGGCCCGATATGTCTTGGTTCGCAGTACTCCCGTCCTGGCCTCAAACAGTAGAGAACTACCCCGAGTATTATCATAGATCCTTTCCTTGGCAATTTACTGCTTAAAAGTTCGATAGATCTCTAGTGCGGAAATGGATAGATGGATGGATGGATGTGGCTGTACCCTTTAGATCGGGCGGCGGCTAACGCCACCTAGCCGTAATACTTAGTGAACTAACCATTACATTTATCTTTTTTTCCTTTAAATAATGAAGTTGCGGATTCGTACTTCGCAGTGAAGGGTTTAATTTTCACTCGTGCCTTGACTTTAGCCACCAATCAGATAACCTCCTTCTAGTTAAGTCTACCCGCTTAAAGTCTATTTTGCCCTCGCTGTCCCTAAATCCCAGTGCTTTGAAAAACTCTGCGCCATCATCCTGAACTATAGGGTGAAGCCCTTTACAGAACATTATCAAGTGTTCGGCAGTTTCTTCTTCCTCTCCACACGCACTGCATATTGTGTCGACCCCTTCGTATTTGGCCCGATATGTCTTGGTTCGCAGTACTCCCATCCTGGCCTCAAACAGTAGAGAACTACCCCGAGTATTATCATAGATCCTTTCCTTGGCAATTTCCTGCTTAAAAGTTCGATAGATCTCTATTGCGGACTTCTTAATCATGCCCATTCTCCACATGTCAGTCTCCGTTTCCTTCACTTTTTTCTTAACCGATAGTTCTTTTTGGTTTGGCCACCTGCTGTTTTCTAAGTATTTGCCAGTCAACTTCCTGGTTCGCTTCCTCCATTTTGTATCGACATTCTTCATGTACAAGTAGCTGAAAACCTTCCTAGCCCAACGCTCTTCCCCCATTTCTCTCAATCGCTTCTCAAATTTTATCTGCTAGCTTCCCTGCCCTCAAATGATGTCCATCCCATATCACCTTGTACTCCCTGATTCGGTGTATTCCCGTGAGCCCCTAAAGCAAGCCTACCTATTCCACGTTGCTTAATTTCTGATTTTGCTTGAACTTCTGATCTCATGCACAAGACCGCATTGCTGAACGTCAGCCCAGGAACCATGACCCCTTTCCATATTCCTCTCACAACATCATACCTATTGTAATTCCACAGTGCCCTATTTTTCATGACTGCTGCATTCCTGTTACCTTTAGTCGTCACGTATATTTCGTGTTCCCTCAGATACTCGGTCCCATTGCTTATCCATACACCCAGATATTTGTATTTATCTGTCATCTCTAGCATGACCTCCTGTATTCTAAGCTCACTACCTTCGTTGTCATTGAAAATCATGACTGCTGATTTTTCCCTACTGAATCTAAAATCTAACCTATCTCCCTCATTACCGCAGATGTCCATCAATCTCTGCAAATCTTCCTTGTTGTTGGCCATTAGCACTATATCATCTGCGTACATTAATGCCGGTAGTGCCTGATCAATAAGTTTTTCTTGTTTGACTAAAGAGAGGTTGAAGCCAAGTCCACTTCCCTCTAATTTTGCCTCTAATCCTTGTAGGTACATCATGAATAATAAATAGTGTCAGTCGCGAGCGCCACTGCGCTGCGCTTGCTCAAAACTAAAGGCAGGCCAACTCCGCTGGGAGCGCGAGCCATTCCCCAGGCATTGTTTAGAGGAGGCGTTGGCTCACAGAACATCTCACAGAACACCTACGCTATATTGAGTGTACTAGAACAAGGGGAGTGCCCGGACCGAGCTCCGAAAAGTGAAGTCCAAAGAAATGAATGCGCATGTGGCACGCAGGCCTACGCAATGCTTGCGGTGCAAAGGGACCGGTCATGTACGGCGAGACTGCAGGGTGCCACGGTGTTCAATTTGTCGGCGATTTGGACATCGAGACGCTCAGTGCGTCCGGTCATATGCAGCAGTTACGAGCGCTGCAACGTGCGATGAGATCGAAGAGCACACAATGGATGCCGCTGAGGCGGAAGACGTGGCTAAGGGGACAGGAGACGCGGCTAGTTCTCTGGTTGAACGTGGGCCGGTTTCGCCTGAAGATTATGATACAGCGTCGGAACCCGAGGAGAAAGAAACGGCTAAGGCAGACACCAGCCAAGAGAATTCCACTGAAGACGCACAAAGCCAATTGGTGGACATGTCGATGCAAGCGGCGAGAGGACGCGACATGCCAGCGCACGGAATGACCTGCTGGATCAACACGAGCTCGGAGGTCAAGCGTTCGCTGGAGCAATCTGCGGGCACTGCTCACGAGAGCAAAGTTGAGGGACCGCCAGCGAAGGCGACACCGGGGCGGCGCTCGGGCCTCAGAGCGAGGTCCTATCTACCTGTGGACCGACCGGTTGGCACTCCAAGGGACCAGCAGCTAACTGATGCCGGACCACCGGATGGCCCCGAAGACGTCTAGCAGGGAGCTAGACGTACACAGTAAGCACCATGGTCCGGGCCTACCCCCTCCTTTTTTTTGCGAGTAACGATGGCTAGTCATTGGGCATTGAGCTTTGCAACCTTAAATGTCTGAGGTTTGGCCTCCAGGAAAAAGCAGGCTCAAGTGTATCCGCCTGTTAATTGACCAAGATATTGACGTGTTAGCCGTGCAGGAGACAAAAGTGGAAGGTGAGGAGGAGACCCGGAGCATGATGCTGCGGTTTACGTCTAAATATTATGCCATAGTTAGTCACGCAAATGGAACTTCGACCGGTTGTGTTCTTTTTATTAAAAAGATTCCGGGATTGATTGTTGAAAGTCACTTTTCTTGTGACTCTGGTAGAACAGTGACTTGTGATTTTAGTACTAGCGAAATTGAATGGCGCGTCATTTGTGTCTATGCGCCGAACGTGGAGGCAGACCGAGAAACTTTCTTTTCGTTAATTAAGCAACATTTACGGACACCAAAACAGCTTGTTTTATTGGGGGATTTCAATTGTGTATTGAGCGCGAAAGATAGAATTAATAACCGCCATGTGCGAGACAGAAGTGTTGAAGTGCTCTATGACTTGCTGAATGAATCTGACCTGGATGATGTTGCGGAGTGCCTCGAAGCAGGTCGCGAAGTTCGATTTACGCATTTTCAGGGAACCAGTCACGCACGTCTTGATAGGATATACATGGCAGGGGAGACGCTAGCTAAAAGCAATAGTTACACAGTCTTACCTGTCTCTTTCTCTGACCATTGTCTTGTACAATGCAACGTGGGACTTAAACAAAAAGAAAACAAATTTAGTTGGGATTTATGGAAGTTTAACGCTAAACTATTTCGGGATGCCATTTTTAATAATTTTGTGATTGAATGAATTAAGAACATTAAAGTGATCGGAGCCTGTAATGTTGGCGAGGAATGGGAGCTTTTGAAGCAAAGCGTTAAAATGAAAGCCATATCGAGATCTAGTACTCTAAAATATATCAAGAAAGAATGAAAGAAAATGAACTCAGAACAATGCTTAAGAAATTGATAGCATTAGAAAGCAAGGAGCCCGGTGCATATAAAGAAGATATTCGAACGGTGAAACGACAAATCGAGCTAGTAGAGCAGGAACGCTACAGAGGAGCCCTCATTCGAGCGAGAGCAGAGGCGTGGGCTATGGGGGAGACTCCCACCAAGCGCGCACTTGGTATCGAGAAATCACGAGCGCGTCGTAATCACATCGACGAAATAGAGGAAAATGGAATTCTGCTAAATACTAACAGCACTATCGCTGAAGCTTTCTTTCGGTATTACAAGGGTCTCTTCGCAGCCGCATTAGTAGATGTTACGAAGTTCAAGGACATTTTCTTGAGCCGGATGCCGCAATTATCCCTCGAAACGAAAGAAGCGTTAGAGAGGCCTATAACCGTTTCTGAAATTGAATATGCAATAGATAGTCTCACCGCTGGGAAGTCGCGGGGGCCTGACGGTCTCGGTGCGATGTGGTATAAAGCTTTTAAAACAGAAGTTTCACCAGTGTTACAAGCTGTGTTCAAGGAAGCCTACGCAATCAAAGAGTTACCACCTTCATTTGCCGAGACGCACACTATTCTAATACCTAAGACAGATGACAAAGCAAAATTAAAACTAGTTTCCTCATACAGGCTCATTTCGATAACCAACACTGACTACAAAATACTCATAAAAGTATTGGCAGGTAGATTGCAGTCCATAATCACTGGAATAGTTGGGCAGCACCAAACGTGTGTCATCAAGGGACGCTCAATATTGATGAACACACACACAATGCGATGTGTCCTTGAGAGTTGCGATGCTTTTAATTCTCATGTTGCGATCCTCCAGCTTGATTTAGAAAAGGCTTTTGACTGTGTTCCGCAAGATGTGTTATTCTCCATACTTGAACATGTCAATGTCGGATCAGTGATTACAGAGGGCATAGTTTTGGCGGATAAAAACTCTACTACACGACTAATTAT